ATCTACTAAACATGTAATTGTAATAGTAATAGAATTTTTTTCTAGTTAATAGTAATAGTAATATATTACTTTCTAATGTAATTGACCCCATGTCTGTCTTGTATGAGGTGATAGTTAGGATAAGTATTAATACAAGTCTCTTTGCGTCGCTCATCTAGCCTGAGTATCTCTATATTATTATCCATTAGTGACTGGAGGATGAGTAGTATTGACTCAGTAGACAATGAAGTACTCCTTAGATCCAGTTCAACTAGTGATGAGTTATTGAGGAGAAGGTGAGAAAGAGCCTGTCCACTAGTAGAAGTGATGAGAGGATTATTAGAAAGATTTAATGAGGTAAGTGTAGAGTTGTGTTCAAGTGCTTGACAGATATTAGTAACTCCTCTATCACTAATGGAGTGGTAACTGACCTCTAGTTCTTGTATTGTTTTATTATTAGTTAGTAGTATACACAAGTACTGGATACAATCATTAGTCAATGGAGAGTGGTATATCTCAAGTCTCCTCAGGTTTAGTGTATGCAGTTTCGTTGATGATAGTAGAGATACTGTACTATTAGTAGATGAGTGCTCAAGTCTAATCACCTCATGATTATTATTAATATTACTAATCACTTCATTACACTGAACTGGAGATGGAGAGTAAAGGGATACACTGTCACTGTACAAGCCCACACTCCCAGTGACTCCTAATATAAACCAAAGGATTATACTTATATACATGTATGTACATAATAATACACATATTCACATCATGTGTATATACAAACACACACAACTTGCTAGTTGTCACTACAACCAATAAACAAATACACACACACAATACATATGTACATACATACACACATGTAATGTGTACATACAGTACAACAGTGTACTACAGTATACACAAATATACTGTACACAAATATTACCTATATCATGTTTTTCCTTGTCTTGTCTCAGTGCAGATATCATAATAGGATCATCATTAATAGTCTCCAAGAAAAGAGAAGCTTTCTCATGATTACTAGATGAATCATTCCTTATCTTCTGTAGAATAGGAAGGGACACTTCTTCCACTGACAGTATAAACTCTAACAATTGAAGTGACTCCAACATTGAGTAAACACAACTACTAGGAATGACTCCCTCATCACCAGACACCAAGGATCTTCCTTTCCACTCAAAACTACTCCACTTCTCATATATCTCCAGCTGCTCTCTCTCACTGAATGAAAGATGATGACTCCATATTCCATGATAGTCAATACGTGCTGTGTAAATAGATTTTGCAGTTGGTGAGAGGATGACAGTAGTAGGAGTAG